TGGCCAGTAGTGCTTAAATAACTGCTCGCTAACGGTCCCCTCCGATGCCCGGGCAAGATCGGTTGTATAAGTGCCTTACCACGGTATGCCGGGATGGACCACCCCTTCCGAGCATACTCGTGGGAACAAAAACAATGAACAAAAATAATAATAAAAACAAAAAAACAAAACACAAACACAAAAATAGATGAGAGGAGAGATGTCTCGGAAGACACCCTGAGCTCAGAGGAGGACGTGCTCCTGGCTTCCACTCAGGACTCTGAACGTTCTTCGATAACACTACCGGTGAGCGCTAAGCCAAACGATCCCGAAAATATACCATCTTCCTCAAAGGCAGCGTTGAGTGCTCCAGGGAACACTCCAAAGCAAGACAGGAGGAAAACCATGTCCTCGGGGTGGCGCTCAAGTCGAGGTACAACAGGGCTGTCTTCATTCTTGACAAGATTGCCAAGAATGCAGCGGCCGGTACTGTACACCCCAAGGATGAAGAAGACAGTCGCATGTGCAATGAGGTGGTGGAGGAGTACAGGAGGTACCTTACTTCAAAACCAACCAGGAAGCCTGTGGCAGTTAAACGAAGTAGACCTAAGGAGGAGTCTACAACGGAACCAGCTTAAAAAAGGGCGGACACAAAAAGCACGCCCCAGCAAGAAGAAACGTTGGCGAAACAACGGTACTGTGAGGTGGCCAAGGATCACCTTCAGGTCGCGCTTGTCGACAACGAAGCCACAGGCAGCGGTAAGGCCGTTCAGGAGCGGTGGGTCGGGATCGAGTCAAAACTCTCTGTTTGACTCCAGTGAGTCCCTGAGGGGTTGCCGGATTTTCAAATGTAGAGATGAGTTCTCTAGGGAATTCCTCGGCAAGTGCGTAGCCGAGCTCGGCAACGTCTGTGAGGGTTTGAAGCTCAAACTAATCCCTGCCGAGGAGCTACCTAGGAAACCCAGGGCCCGCATTTGGCGGCCGAAGATGGCTATGGACAGCGACAAGTTGATCCGCTTCCTGCAACGGCAAAATCCAGAAATACCCATGAGTGACTGGGTAGTCATTCGTGCAGAAAAGCCTCTAGAGGGCGCGCAGAGTTCTTCGTACCTTCTGAGGCTTAACGAAGAAAGTATTGAGCCATTGAAAAAAATGGACAACAAGCTGCTCTTCGGGGTGAGAACAGCGAAACTAAAAATATTCCGCTCCAATGAGCCGATTCCAGAGGCTTATATGAACCTCAAGGTTACCGCGAACGAAGAGGTCGCTGAAGGGGCCAACCAGGTGCTGGCAGGCACAGGGTCAGTTAAGCTCCTGGTCTTCCTAATCGAGGAAGACATCGACACCTCGTTGATACAGGAACCTTGGGTAAGGGACCTAGAGGTTGAGGGACTTACCAACGCCCGCTATAACCTCTTCTACACTAGTATATCAGGTTAACCCCGCGCGTGTGTATTGGTTAAAAAACGTATTAAAGCTTTCTTATGTTCCAATTTCAGCTCACCGGATACTACAGTCGTCAACTTGGAGTTGATGAATAAACAAAGCTGTCTTATATCACCCGTATACATGGCGCACGACAGGCCGTGTCCGCCACAGGAAATCGTCACTCTACAAAGGCTAGCAGGAGCTAGTCCAGTGTTACTCGGCTGCGATGCCAATTCACGGCATACATTATGGGGCAGCTCGGAAACCAACGAAAGAGGTGAGTCACTATTTCAATTTATTATTGATTCTACATTTAGGATTTGTAATAGAGGTAGTACTCCCACCTTCATATTTCCCAGTACCCCTGATTTTAGCGGTTGGGAAGATGTCCTAGACCTAACTCTGCTGACCGAGGGGAGCCTAAAGGTCAATAAATGGAGAGTATCCGACGAAGAGACCCTCTCGGACCACCGTCGAATACTCTTTGAGCTAAATATTGCGGCGGATACGGATTGGGACTTATTTCAAAGGGTTATTGGAAAAGAATTGAAGAAACTACCAGTTGAAGACATTCCTACAAGGGGCGAGCTGGACGCCAGAGCGAACAGCCTGAATAAGGCCTTCGGAAAGGCCCTTACGAAGGCTTGTCCGCTGAGGTATGGCAAGAAAGCGCGCACACCTTGATGGAATGAGAATCTTACAGCGCTACGGAAGCAAGTAAGAAAATCCTTCAACGAATGCTACAGGATTAAGGTATGGGACCTATACAGAGAGAACCTAAAGAAATACAAAAAAGGCATACAGGACGCTAAGGAGGCGTCCTGGAGGGAATTTTGCGAATCCATCGAGGATACCAAGGAATCTGCGAGATTAAGCAAAATCCTTGCCAAAGGGCACTCGCAGCCAACACATATAAAAAGGTCAGATAGTTTCATGGACCGAGTCGGCTGGGGAGTCGCTGGATATCCTTCTGAATACACATTTTCCAGGGTGCAAAATCGATGTAGTGGAAACCGATGTCCCAGACCATATGCCAACCCTCTCCGAGGACCTCTTAGAGGAGTTGCTAGAGAGAGAAAAGATAAAATTTGCTATCTTCAGCTTCTCACCCTATAAATCACCGGGTATGGACGGAATACTACCAGTCATGCTTCAGAAAGCTTCTGAGATGGTCATTCCAGCCCTAGAAATAATTTTTAGAGGGTGCCTAATACTGAACCACGTTCCATTAAGCTGGAGGAAGATTAAGGTAATTTTTATTCCTAAAGTGGGAAAACGGGGCCATGACAATGCTAAAGATTTCCGACCAATAAGCCTAATGTCCTTCGTGCTCAAGACGTTTGAGAGGTTGTTGGATCTGTATGTTAGGGACAAGACGTCCAATTTATCATGCTCTCAACATGCGTACTAGAAAGGGAAGTCAACGGAGACTGCCCTGCATGAAGTGGTACGTACAATTGACAGTTCGCTCTACTATAAACAATTTACAATGGCGTCATTTATAGACATCGAGGGGGCCTTTAATAATATCAGTGTGGATTCCATCTATGAGGCACTTATTGTAACAGGGATTGCTCACTGTGTCCGGGCTTGGATAGTGTCTCTGCTAAGGAGCAGAGTAATACATGGCGAATTGGGGTACCAAAGCAGGGCTGTATATGCAGTGAGAGGCACCCCACAGGGAGGATTGCTATCACCGTTACTATGGCTCATGGTAAAGCTGGACTCTCAGAGAAGCGGTGGCTTACGCCGATGATGTAGCGATACTGGTATCGGGTTAGTTTCCTTCGGTCATAAGTGAAATTATGGAAAGGACTTTAAAGATAGTAGATTCCTGGGCCATAAGCTGTTCTCTTAGCGTAAACCCGGAGAAAACTGACCTTATGCTTTTCACAAATAAAACAAAATTACCAAATTTTAATAAACCAATGTTCCGAGGAACGGAACTGGATCTGTCAAAGAAGATGAAATACCTTGGGGTTATTTTGGATCCCAAACTTAACTGGAAACTAACAATTGAGGAGCGTGCTAGGAAGGCCACGGTGGCTCTCTATGCAGCCAAGAGAATGTTGGGCAACAGATGGGGTTTGAAACCAATAATTGTACACTGGATGTACACAGCTATAGTCCGACCCATAATCTCTTATGGGGCGCTGGTCTGGTGGCCAGCCCTTACTAAGGATTACGTAGTTAAAAGGCTAGGCGGAATTAAAAGGTTCGGTGTACTTCGATATGTAGCCAGATACTTGTACAATGCTCTTTCCGCGTTGCCTTCTTCCATCATAATCTTTTTGAATGCTTGCTTGAATGTGCGTACATACCTTTCCGCCAATCCATTTGATGAAGGATGGAACGGTGCTGTGGTAAGATGATCAATGCTATTGTTCTTACAAAACTGTTTGAATTCCGATGATGTGAACTGTGCTCCGTTATCAGTGACGATAGTATTCGGCAGGCCTTCCACCGACAGAATTCGCTGGAGTGCTGCTATGGTGGTCATCGTAGTTGCTGCTGATAGCTTCACGGTATATGGGAAATTGGAATATGCGTCGACGATAATAAGCCACATGTGATTGTAAAATGGCCCTGCAAAATCCAAATGTATCCTCTCCCAAGGTTTTGTGGGCTGAGGCCAAGGGGAAAATTCCCGCTTTGGATGACTTGCATTGGCTTGGCAAATACTACACTCATTACGCAACTTGTCTATTTCCGCGTCTATACCTGGAAACCACACGTATCGTCTTGCCATTTGTTTCATACGACCCTTGCCCCAGTGCCCATCGTGCAGCATAGCGAGTACTTTCCTATATGTAGCAGCAGGTAATACAACTCTGGTATAATCTGTTTGAACCATTACTACTCCATTGTGTACTGATAAACAAAGTTTTCGCTTATAAAATTCATCAAGTTTAGCTTGGTTTGGCAAGTTCTGAGGCCAGCCTTCTAGTATATATTTCTTAACTAGCCTAAGGGTACTGTCTTCCTCGGTAAGCTTTTTCAAGAGTTCTGCGTTCAGAGTTGAATCTTCCAGTGCCGCCTGATATACAGCATCCACCCCGAGTAAGTTGATTTCTTTTTCATCGAAATCGTAGTCATCTCCAACTGGCAACCTGGAGAGAGCGTCTGCGGTAGCGTTGTCCGCAGACTTTTTGAAGTGAATTGTGTAGTCATATGCTTGAAGTACGATGGCCCAGCGTTGAAGTCGGTGAAGCACCATAACAGGTAGCCTTTTTGACGGATTGAAAAGTGTAGTAAGTGCTTGATGGTCTGTAATGAGCTCAAAATGCCGACCGTAAAGATAGTGGTGGAATTTTGTAACACCGTATATGATGGCCAGCGCTTCCTTTTCGATTTGAGAGTAGCGTGCTTGGCTGCTGTTGAGTGTTTTAGAGGCGTGCGCGATAGGCTTTTCAATACCGTCTGTATTACGGCTCCGATTCCATACTTAGAAGCATCAACTGCTAAAATAATAGGTAGTCTGTCATCGTAGTGAACAAGTTGTGTGGTGGCTACGATAGCATTTTTTAACTTCTGAAATGAATTTTCTTCCAGTCGTCCCCATCTATATTCAACATTTTTACGTCTAAGTCTGTTTAAAGGCGCTGCAAGAGATGAAAAGTTACTGATGAATTTGTTGTAATAATTTACCTTGCCGATAAAAGATTCGATTTCTTTGATATTTTTCGGCGGAGGCATACGTTTAATTGCGTCGACTCGCTTTTCTGATGGCATTATTCCTGTAGCGTTGATGATATGCCCGACGTACTCGACTTGCTTTTCCGCAAAATTACACTTTTCCACCCTGCATGTAAGACCGTGAAAGCTTAAACGCTTAAAAATTTCTTCTACATTACGGATGTGCTCGTCGTTATCTTGGCCGGTGACGATAATGTCATCCAAATAAACGGCACAATGCGGAACACCAGCGATGACTTCTTCCATAAAACGTTGGAAAATTCCAGGCACACTAGCCATTCCGAAAGGCATGCGCTGAAATTGAAATAATCCAAATGGAGTATTGATAACCGTAAATTTTTTCGCCTCGTCGGTTAAATTGACTTGCAAATATGCGTCGCTTAGATCGATTTTTGTGAAATATTTACCACCTTGTAGCTTATGGAACAACTCTTCTATTCTGGGTATCGGGTACCGGTCGATTTGGATTTGGGAATTCAAAGCGACTTTGAAATCAGCACAAATTCGAAATTTACCGTTTGGCTTTCGCACAACTACGATTGGCGCTGCCCATTCACTCACGCGTATAGGTTTCAACACTTCAGCTTTAACAAGTCGCTCAATTTCAGCTTTCACATCAGCGTGAAGAGCAAATGGTAAATTGTAAGGCTTAAAGAATTTCGGTTTTGCCTTAGGCTGAAGAGAGATATTTGCCTTAAACGTTTTGCAGTTTCCCAGCTTTGATAAGAATATTTCCGGGTGCTGGTTAACACACTGCCTGAGAGAAACGCGCAAATTTAGCTGTGATGCCTCTTCCGTGAACGAACAAGTATTACACATGTTACCAGAAATTTCGTTATCTTGTAAGTCTACCTGAAATTTCAGCATTTTAAACCAGTCTAGCCCAAGAATATTGGTTGCGCGTTCAGATTTTACAACAAGCAGTGGTAAGGATTTGATCGTATCTCTCCATTTAGCTTTCACATTAGTTGTTTCTACAAGGGGTAAAACGTTCCCCCCGTACGCCTTCAGAATTTTGTTAGTGGGTTCACATCTCGGTTCGCCTAATATGCGGTATGTAGGGAGGCCTATGAGCGAGCACGTAGCACCTGTGTCTACTTGAAATTCCAACGTTCTGTCATTGATGTCTATGTTTAGTAGAATTTTATCAGCAGCCGTATTTGCTAACGATACCTCGGCGACGCCTATACTCTCGAAAAGCGTATTACTCACGACGTTCACATTGTCTGCATTCTCTTTTTTTTGACTTGGGGTGGTCGATCGTGCCGAAGAATGCGATACACACACTGAAGCAATATGCCCTAACTTACCGCAGGACCGACATTTCGTTTTGTTCTTGTAATGGAAACAGTTCGCTCTGTTGTGTGCAGATCCACAACTAGGGCAAGACTTCCCGCTGACTGACGAGCTTCGCGATTTACTTCGTCCTCCGTTCCGCTTCTTTTCGAGTTGTTTTGATCGGTGAATGGCATTTACGGCTGGTGCGTCCCCCTCACCCTTAATCTCCAAGCACGTTTTGATTGTCGACTCGTACACTGTAGCTATTTGCAATACTTCATCTAATGTAGGGTTAGGCTTTTGGAGAGCTGCACTTCGCACTTTATCATGTGGTGTATGCATGATAATCATATCCCTTATGTTACTATCGAGAAAAGATTTACGGCACCCATCTGCAGCGCATTCGAACATGCACTCTCTCGCAGCACCACGCAACTCAGCCACCCATTCGACATAAGTTTGACTGGGCTTCATTCTAATTGAATAAAACTTAAATCGGGCCGCCAGAATATGCTGCTTATCAATAAAGTGACTATCTAGAAGCGATTTTACCTCACTGAAGGACTTCCCTTCCAAGTTATTGTCGCTTAGCTTTTGTAGCAGCTCGAACGTTTCCGTACCGATCCAGGACAGAAGACTCGCGCGTTTCATAGTGTCCTCTGTGACATTGTTGGCAATGAAATGATGTTCTAATTGCTGGACATATGTAGACCATTTTTCTACATTTTTGTTGAAGCTTCTAAAGACCGGCGCAGTACTTGAGTGGCAGTCAGTGCCTAGCACGCGCTGCAACGATGCCAAGTTTTGTTGCAAGATTTTTTCAAGAAATTCTTTGTTCGATTCCTGAAATTTTACCAACAGCGAAAATAGCGTCCTTTCGTCCATTTTCTCGTCGCCAATGTTAAATTTCTGATGCAATTTGAACGAGATGTTTCTGGATTTCAATAATTCATTTATTTTAATTCTAAGTTACAAGAAAATGTGTGTGTCTCACAAACGAAGGAGAAGGTCAGGTCAAAAGGAAAATAGTGATCAAGTGACAGTGTGACTAGTGTTACCAGATCCAACTAAATTGTTAGTAAACTACTGCATGGTAGTCTTTGCAAAATCAATACATTCCTACATCTTCATAGAGAATTCAGCTGCTAACAGCGCCATTTGACTGCGTGCCCTGGGGCTCTGGAAGGAAAGACCGTTCGGGCACGGTCCCATCCTAGACGCAATACCGTCTGAAATTAAAGCGCTGCCCATTGACTATATCCTGTCCAAGACCTGGGTTCACCATAAACCCCACACGAAATTCCCAAGCCGCAGTGACTGGAACCAGGAAGATTTCGGGTACTTGCAGGGCTTAACTGTCTTTACGGATGGGTCAAAGATGGAATGCGGTGTTGGTGCTGGGGTCTTCATTGAGCAATATAACCTAAAATTATCCTTCCGCCTACCAGACTATGCAAGCGTTTTCCAGGCCGAAACGTTTGCTATTAAGTAGGCAGTAAAGTACATCAAAGACAATGTACCCCCGAGAACGCATGTGAACATCCTCTCGGATAGCCAAGCGGCAATTCAGGCACTTTCCTCTAACTCGGTTAGATCTCAGCTAGTGGATGAATGTAGGAGAGAGCTGGCCTATATTTCTGATCAATACGAAATTACCCTAATAAGGGTCCCGGGACATAGGGGCATCTACGGAAATGAGGCAGCGGACGAACTAGCAAGGAGAGGCTCCGCACTGGATGTGTCCCACGCGGTGGACATGGGCGCCTCGCTCAGGGAGATTAAGACGAAAATTACCGAAAGTTATCATTCGAAGGCCAGGCAGGGGTGGAACTGCACCAGGATCCTACAGAATTGCCCGGCAGTTCTGGGTGTCCTACGACCCACTCAAAACCAAATCTCTCTTAGGAATGAGCTAAACAAATGACTACAAACTTACTGCAGTGTGCACAGGGCACTGGCCCGTTGGGGTACATGCCGAAAGGATAGGACGGCCCGTCAATAGGTTCTGTCGCAGCTGCGATGACCCAGGCTCAAAAGAGACTGTCGAACACTTGCTGTGCGAGTGTCCAGCCCTCGCAAGGATGAGGCTAAAGACACTCGGCAAACCATTCCTGCAGAATATTTCAGACTGCAGCTGCCTCTCTCTGTATGACGTATGTATGCACGAGTTGTGGAATCAAAATGGCAAACTTGCTAATTGCTTGTCACCTGAGTGACAATCCACTTAAACCAACCAACCAAATACCTTTCTTTTTTATAAAAAAAAAAAAATATTTTAAACAAAAAAATTACTAACCGATTTTTAAAACATTGGTATCGTTGTAATGATGATTAAAGCCCCTTTCTTCTCATGTACTTCGTACATAAATATTTGAGAAAAACACATTAAAAGCAAAAAATACCTCAAAAAAAAAAAAAAAAATATTTTAAACAAAAAAATTACTAACCCATTTTTAAAAAGTTAGTGTCATTGATATGCATATTTGCATGCTTCCTATATAAAAATTTAAAACAAAACACACATTTAAAGGAAAAATACCTCTTTTTTATAAAAAAAAATCTAACCGATTTTTGAAAAATTGTTATCGTTGTAAAGGCAATTAAACTTCTTTCTTCTGATAAGCATATTTGTATACTTTGTATATAAAAATTTAAGAAAAACCACATTTAGAGGAAAAAATAACTTTTTTTTTATAAAGAAAAATATTACCAACGGATTTTTAAAGGCGATTAAACCTCCTTTCTTCTGATATGGAAAAAAAGGAAAAATACCAATTTTTTCTTATAAAAAATATTCTAAACTAAAAAAATAACAATATGAAATACAATTGAATACTTTATTCAAATAAAATAGAAAATTACCTTTAATTTTTATATATAACCTGTTATGTAAAAAATCAAAAACCATTAATTTTTATATATAACCTGTTATGTAAAAAATCAAAAACCATGGTGTTTTTATATTTTTATATGCCTTGGACTACTTTTGCTTTATTTTTAACAGGGCTGTGGGTCACAAGAACGAATTAAAGCTTAAAACATCATTAATAATTCGTTTTATTTAAATACGGTATTCAATTGTATTAGTAATTAGTATTTTTTTTTAAATTTTTTTTTTTATTAGAAAAAATTGGTATTTTTTCCGATTAAGTGTTTTTTTTTTTAATTTTTATATACGAAGTGCACAAATATGCATATTAGATGAAAAGGAGTTTAATCACCTTAACAACGATGCCAATTTTTTAAAAATTAGTGAGTAATTTTTTTGCTTAAAATATTTTTTGATAAAAAAAGTTATTTTTTCTGAAATTTTTATTTACGAAGTATACAAATATGCATATCAGAAGAAAGAGGGTTTAATCAGCTTTAAAACGATGTATGATAGTAATTTTTTTGTTTAAATTTTTTTTTATACAAAAAAGATATTTTTCTTTTAAATATGCATATCACAAGAAAGGGGCTTAAATCACTTTTACAACGATATGAATCTTTTAAAAATCAGTTCAAAATTTTCTGAAATATTAAGTTTTTAATTTTTCGAAGATCTGACTTTTAACCCGTTATAGCACCTGTAATATAAGTTTTCACAAAAAAAGTTATATACCATATAAATAAGAGCAACGTCTGTATTTTTACTTTTTTTGCTTTTTACATGCAACAATTAAAACAAATTTTTTACCAAAGGTCCAAATTTGAACTTCGAAGGCCCATATCTCGATTTTGGAGGCTAACTTCGAAAAACGGAGAAATTACTTTTTTACTTATGACTCAATCTCTTAAAAAAAGTTGGTTTGGTCCAATACCCTGCCGAGTGCTGTACAGTGTAATTGCTCAGTCTTACGACTACAAGCTATATATATAATTTTGGTGCAAGCTGTAGTTGCAGTTGACCTGACCGTGTTTGTCACTAAACTAAAAAGTGGCAGAAAAGTCGATAGTGAGCAATGTAATCTATTAAAAAATATTAACCAATTTTCCCTAGAATTGGGATTCAGAAAAGGTATTTGGTATTATTCATAGTTTCGAAATACATGTATGTCGCGAAAGCAAAAAGTAAAAATAGGTGAGATAACTTTCTTTTTTAAACACTGATAATTTTAAAGGACCCTGAATGGTAGTAAGACTCAAAGCTTTAAACATTTTTTGATGTTATTTTTGAAATGAAGGATCCAAATTAGTCGGTATACATATTCTAAAATCTTTAAAATCAGTGGTTGAATTTTTGTACTGAAAGGGTTAAGAAAGCTTTAGTTTAACTAAATACTTTTCGCCATAAACGACCCCAATTTTCAGTGATTATTGCAGTTCAGATTACAACTAATAAAGCCCTTGTACAGATATTGTGAAAGGTTGGACTATACTTTAAAGATGACTGTTTTCTCATGGCCCACTGAACGAAGCTTTGAGCAGAGTAAGGAGCTTTAAGAACCTAATTATTATCCTGGGTTATCAGGTATCTAGCAATACAAGATGATAGTTGTCTGAAGTATATTTATGAATATCATGTTTTATTATATACTTAAACTAGCAGACCCGGCGAACTTCGTCCCGCCCAAAATTTTTAAATATTTTATTGAAACTTTTTGGTCCAACATTTTCACCAACAATTCACGTTTACGATTTTCATTGGCACATTTGGCTAAGATTAAGGTTTGGTGGTAATTTGCCGCTTTAAATAACATAAGGAAAGTGTTATATCCGTTCTTGAAATTCTCCAGTTATGCGGCATTTCATAGCACGGTTATTCGCAAAGCGAAATAAATTTTTTCTCCTTCACTCCCTGGCGGCAACAATGACCTGGTTCTATAGTGAATGTCCTAGAAGCTTTACAGTATAGTAAGTGGCAATTTCAAAATGGGTGCGAATCATTGTTCTACAGAAATGCAATATACATATACTTATTTCAGACGAAATACCTTAAAAGCTTGAACGCATAATAATATTGGAAAATCACATCCATTGGGCCAATTGCAGGAGCGTTCGATATACTCAATGGTGCAACAGGTCGATTTAATCTGACCTTCACAGCCCCTTTTCTCACTTGGCTATTTTTAGTAATAGCTCGACTTCAGCACCACCTGGCAGCACGTTTTTGCAATAGTATTTCATACATATTTAAAACATTAGCCAAATCGGATCATAAATAAGATTTTTAGTAATAACTCAACTACAGCGCCAACTGTCGGATTAAATTGTGAAACTAAACCATCCAGAGACCCACTCAAATACACAAAAAGTTTCGTTAAAATCCGTACAACCATTTAGGAGGATTTCACTCACAAACACACCTACAGAAGAATAAAAAAAAATCATTCAAAGATAGCTAAAGGTCGGTACGTTTGTAGGCCTCACACACCCTTTTCAAATAGCCCAAATTTTCTCCATGAGTATGGGCTTGATTTCAACTACATACATATCTCCATACGAAGTTCCAGTACTGTACCATGCATACTTTCAGAGATATGCAGTATAAA